CCGTTTCAAAAGAACGATATTCAAGGCTTTTGAAACAAAAATCTTAACAATTTTTATTAACCACCCTATTTAGCACAAAGAGACATGCCTAGTTCAGTTTAATTGAATTGATATGATGAGCAGCCCAAAAATGAGCACCATTTGTGGCATAAACAAAAAAGACTGTGGTCCATTATTTACAGCTGAAAAGGAAACAAAGAATGGATATCTTCGACTTTTCCTTCGATTACCCCTATGCCTAGGGCGTCGCCATTAGCGCGTAGTTGTCCAGTTGGTGTATGGTTGACTCGAAAGCCAGAGTACTTTAGTTCTCAGCATTACGCTTCCTTTTGTCGCAACATTCAGGTTTACATTTTGGTGCGCATGATCGGGCACAGGGCGCGGGGCAAACTGTCTGTGGAGGAGGCATCATCATCATGGGTTGTTGAGGGGGCATCATCATTGGAGGAGGTTGCATCGGAGGTGGCTGCATGTTCATTGGAGGATAAGGTGGCATCATCATTGGTTGAGGAGGTGGTCCCTGGCAGCAGGTGGGAGCACAGGATGGCTGGCATTGCTGCATGGGAGGCATCGGTGGCATTGGTGGTGGAAGGGGCGGGAGTGGTTGAGGGTTGCAGCACCTCTGTGAACAAGCTGGATAGCAAGCCTTAGGGCAACCTGGAGGGCAAGGTGGTGGTGGCTGAACTGGAGGAGGAGGAGGTGCTACCATAGGAGGAGGAGGGCCCATAACCATTGGTGGTGGTTGAGGGGGCATCATTGGTGGAGGTGCACAACAGCCTGCCTGCTGGCACTGATTAGGACAGGGAGTAGACTGAATTGGAGACACTTGAGGCATTCCGCCCCCTGGGTTGATAGTTGTCGTCCATTTCAAGCAAACGGGAGGACACTGAGGAGGAGGAGCCGGCATTGGCATTGGCATTGGTGGGGGAGGCGGTGGTGGTGGTGGAGGAGGCGGTGGTGGAATTGGCATACAACATGATGGCTGACACAGAGGAGCACAGGATGGAGCGCATGACGCCCCACATGGACTCCCTAAAAAAAAAAGAGAGATGATTAACGATAAAGAGCTCAATGATGAGTTGAATATATTTACTTCAGTAAATAGATATCATGGTTTCGTATCCTATTGACTTGTGGAGAAGTTTCCTAAGCTAATTGATCGAAATTATATTCATTATAATTCTATACTTACTCTTTGCCCTCAATTCCGCAAGCTTGCTCTGAACTAAAAGTAAAAAATACATGGTAAGAAACTTGAATAAACTTTTGGTGAGATCTCCGTCGTCTTACATGTCATATGTTACTTAAAATTCTGAGTGAGAAAAACAAACAGTTTTTTCTAACTTTGTGCTAATCGTCGTATGTGGAGAGATTTGACGTTTCATTCTTATCCACATGCTCGTGCATTTCGGCATAAGTTTCTATGAGTGTCAGTCAAGAAAACAGGGGATCATTATTTCCAGGAAATGCATGGGGTGTTCCTATTCATTGCCAGTTAATAATAGGAAAAAAACTATCAGTTATGCCAATTGTAGCATAACAGTTGGATGAAAGAAGCACATTGAAGTCGTAGAACTGAAATCACGTATTAGCAAAAAGTTATGAACGATACAGACAGGAGTGGTTCTTTCTTCTTCTTTTGTCTAAAGACGTTTTGGTGCCATATTGAAGCTGTACGCTGTAATGCAACGCATGACCGGAAGTGCACGAAATTCATAGGACTTTTCAACAGAAAAAAATTCGTTTCCTGCCGGTATAGACATCGCGGAACAAAATAATACGGTTTTGCCAGCTTGTTGCCAGTTAACTTATTCTAGATCACGAAAAATAAAACAGGTTTCTCCATTTCTTCTTTCGGTTGTGACAGGTTTTCCGCACTGGTGGCTAATAAAATTGATCAAGCGAAAAATTGTCTTCGCTTGTACTTGGAGTTCAGAAGTTAAAAACATTACTTTGAATAATATTTTTTAGTCCTTGTGTGATAGATTCGAGAGGTTATCATTGGGGGAACTCCTACAGATGAAATATGTTTAACAAGTAAACTGACAGGCGACGACTCATAACTTTAACAAGCCGTGGAACCTTTGTAAATCATATTTATTCTAACTGCGAGTGACCTCAGTGATATCGTTTAGCCAATCCTTGGAAATTCGAACAGCACACGAGTTTTGGTCATAGATGAGGGGAATAACACGAAAACTTTATTTTTTGTGGTTGATTAGAGTAGGAAGTAGAGAATGGGTTGTTATTAAACTTATCAAGCTAATTTACAAAATAGAATTATTTCAAAAGTTCCCTTGTTCCATACTTACTAACTGAACTCTCCACATGAAGTACCACGACCAAAACAATCGATGCGACTATCGCTATCCGGGTCTTCATTTTCTAATATATCTAAAGCAACAGAAAGG